GCGGGTTAGGGGAGAGAGATTTATAGTTTTTTCTTAGGGGGCATGGAAATCGTGACAGAATGAGAGGGAGAGATGGGGTGGGAGGGGGGGGTTAGGGAAAGGTTAGGGATTTGTATTTTTTCTCGGTAACCTAGACGGAATTTTTGTCTAGGTTGCATCCTAGACGAAAATTCCGTCAAGGATGAATGGAACTTTTTTAAAAAACCCGTTTAATTTAGAAAACTAGACAGAAATTTACATCTAGATTACCTCAAACTAGATGGAGCAAACTAGACATAATTGTTTTCGTCTAGTTTGCCTCAAATTAGATGGAAAAAATTCCATCGAGTTTGCTTCATCTAGTTTGTTCATTTTTCTACTAGTGTTATGCACTAAATAAATTTAGAAATAAATCTATTCTATGTACTAAATAAAGTTTTTAATTTCTTAGTAAAAGTCTAGCACCTATATAAAGGGCTAGCTAATATTTGTAATATCAAGCAAGCAAAAGCAAAATAAAAAGCTCAAAGTAAAGACATACAAGTAAAACATTGCACGCGCGTAAACACACATCCTCAAAAGTTATGAAAGTCCACCAAGATTATGCTAAAATCTACTAAAATAAAGAGTTCTATATTTCATTAGAGCTCACAAAGTGGTACCAGAGGTAGGCAATCCTTCTATCGATGGCCTCAAACAACATGTTCCAACCTCAAATTCTAAAGTTGAGCAGAGACAACTTTGACAATTAGTATATACAAATGTGACTGCTACTTGGTTCTATGGATGCTTGGGAGCTTGTACGAATTGGCTATAAGGAGCCAGAGTCACTAGGAGAAGAGGTAGCTATGACAAAATAGTTGAAGGATCAGCTCAAGAACTCAATAAAAAGGGACAATAAATCATTGTTCACTATCTACCAAGCATGGAGGAAGCAATGTTTGAGATTGTTCAACAAGTCAAACATCAAAAGAAGTACGGGAGCTTCTATAAAAGACCTATTGGGGAGTCATTAAGATAAAAAAGGTACGACTTCAAACTCTATGTAATGAATGTGAAAGATTTTGAATCGATTGCTAAATATCATTCAAAATTTATGGTGGTTGTTAATCAGCTAATAAGAAATCATCAAGTACTAATATATGTTAATGTGATAGATAATATTATGCGCTCTTTGCATCCAAAGTTTGATTATGTTGTTCCAGCGAGGAAGCATATAAATTTGAAGATATGTCGATAGATGAGTTCATGGGTTCTCTTCAAGTCTATGAGAAACACATGCGGCGAAGATCATCTTCTACAACAATAGACCAAGCATTACAGTCAAGATTGATTCTAGGTAGCTAATGAGGTGGTCATGGAAGTATAGCTCCACAATAGAATGGTCGTCGTAGATGCCATGATCGAGGTCAAAGAGGCAATCACCAATATGATCAAGCACAGAGTAGTAATGACAATCATGGTAGAGGAGCTACTAGAGGATGATTTATTCTAGCATGTGGTAATTAGAGCATTCAATATTATAATCACAACAAGTTTGGACACTATGCTATGAAATGTTGAAATCAATCTTTTGATCAAGGACAACAATCAAATTTTGTTGATGCTGTAGAAGAAAGTGCAGCTCTGCTTCTTGTACATAAGGAGGAGACTGATCAAACGAATGCGTATTTCTTGATATTCAAGCAAGCAATTATATGTGCAGGAGAAAATAAATATTTGAAGAATTCTTAGAGGATACTCGCAGCAACATCAACCTTGAAAATTCATCCAAGCTTCAAGTCAAAGGTAAAGGAACAATTATAATTTTCAAAAACATGGAAAACCTCAATATATCTCCAACTTTTATTATATACTTAATATGAAAAGCAACATACTTAGTCTGAGACAACTCCTAGCAAAAAGGTGTATAATGCACATGGAAGATAGCTTTCTTAGCTTAACAGATGGACATGGAAGACAAGTGGAAAATGTGAAAATACTAAAGAATCACATGTTTTCTCTCCATTTCAATACAGAGTTTCAAAAGTGCTTCTATGGGTTCATGGATAATGAGTCATGGAAGTGGCACCTGCATTCACTTTGGACATCTAAACTTTGAAGGCTTGAATCATCTCTCTACAAGAAAAATGGTTCAAGGACTCCCGATATTTGATCATCCAAATAATGTGTACGACACTTGACAAGTTACATCGACTACTCTTTCCTTAAGGATGGTCTTGGAGCATGACAACTCCATTGTAATTAGTACACATTGACATTTGCTGTCTACTAGAGCTGTCTTCCTTTAGAGATAATCAATATTTTATTACCTTCAGTAGTAACTATAATAGAAAGTTATGTGTTTATTTTTTAAAAGAAAAGTCTGGCGCATTTGAAACATTAAAGGACTTTAAAGCTCGAGCTATAACACAGTCTGGTTGTAAATTAAATGTATTTCGATCTAATCATGGGGGAGAATTCACCTCAACCGTATTCAAGACTTAGTGTAGATAGGTGGGCATCCAATAACAATTTATAGCGAAACAAACCATAAAAAATGGAGTAGTGGAAAGAAAGAACCGAGCCATCCTCGACATGACGAGAACAATACTCAAGGAGAAAAGTTTGCTGAAGAACTTTTGGGCAGAAGCTATTGATTGCACAACCTATCTACTCAATCAATGTTTAACAAAAAGTGTGAAGAACATGATGCCACGAGAAGCATGAAGTAGACAAAAACTAGATGTGGAGCATCTCGAGTGTTTGGTTGCATTGCATATGCTCAAGTACTAGAGGTAAAGAGAATGAAGCTTGGTGATCATGGAGAAAAAGTGCATCTTTATTAGCTATAGTGAAGAATCAAAATCTTACAAACTCTACAATCCACAAACTAATAAAATCATGGTGAGTATAAATGTAGTTTTTGATGAAGAAGGAGCACATACAAGGAGCAAAGGAGACAATGATAAAGGCAAAAGAGTCTACTAGATGAACCAAATGAAGACTTACAAAGTCATGTACATGAGCATCAACTATATCAAGATGCATGTGTACAAATTCCAACATGAGGTGCCTCATCATCTTCAGAAGTAGGAGCTTTAATGCAATCTGCATTTAGAACAAGCATATTCTTATCCGATGGTTCCACATCATCAGCAAGCACAACTTCAATCAAAATGAAGAGCTTGTAAGATATTTATGATGAAACTGAAGAAGATCTACATGTAAATATCTTTTGTCTTTATGCAGATCATGTGCCTCTCACATTTCAAGAAGCAACAAAAAAAGATAGTTGGATATATGCTATAGTGGAAGGAATATAAGCTATTCAGAAGAATGAGACATGAGAGCTAGTTCCACTCCCTCCTAACCATCATGTAATTGGTGTCAAATGGGTGTTCAAGAGCAAACATAGAGCTAATGGAGAAGTTGAATGCTACAAGGCAAGGCTCTTAGTAACAGGCTACAAACGGAACCATAGTGTCGATTATGAAGAACTCTTCGTACCAATTCAAGACTTAACATAGTTAGATTTTTAATCTCACTTGCAACACATCATAGCTAAAAAATATACCAGGTAGATGTGAAGTCAACTTTCCTCAGTAGTGTCCTTGAGGAAGAAGCATACGTAGAGCAGCTTGATGATTTCGTAGTACAAGGAGAAGAAGATAAAGTATCATTTGAAGAAAGCACTTTATCGCCTAAAGCAAACACCACGAGCATGGAATACATGTGTTAATGGTTATTTACATGATAATGGCTTCACCAAATGCCCCTTTGAACATGCAATCTAAATAAAGAAAGGAGATAGTAGAGATATCCTTATGATATGACTTTGTGCTGATGACCTATTATTTACAGGAAGTAGTGAGAAGATGTTCTCGAAGTTCAAGATGGCAATATTTTAAGAGTTTGAAATGATAGATTGTGAACTTATGTCCTACTTTTTGGGCATTGAAGTGCATCAACAACTATTTGTGATCTTCATATCCCAAATGAAGTATGCAAAGAAGATACTCGAGAAGTTCAAGATAAATAGTCGCAGTTTGGTGAATAGGCCTATTGTAACTAGCCTGAAATTCTACAAAGAAGGAGATGATAGAGTTGTCGAAACAACTCTGTATAGAAGCTTGGTTGGAAGCTTGAGATACCTCACTATCAGTAGACCTGACATTATCTATGGTGTAGGACTGGTGAGTAGATTCATAGCGATGCTAACGGAATCTCATTAGCTTATAGCAAAATGACTTATGAGGAATAACAAAGGCACTTTGAGCTATGGTATTTCTATACCTATGGAGAATATGTAGAACTAGTTAGCTATTCTTATAGCAACTAAGAAGGAGATCGATATGAAAGAAAGAGGACTATAAGGTCTATCTTCTATCTTGGCACAATAGCTTTTTCTTAGTCTTCAAAGAAGCAGGATATTGTTATTTTGTTGACATGTGCGGCAGAATATATAGTAGCAACATCTACTATCTGTGAAGCAATTTGGCTGAGGAATATCTTAAAGGAGTTGAAGTACTCTTAATAAGAACATTGTAAAACCCCGTAAATTTGAATATTTTATGATAAATAATGATAAATATGTTATATAGTTAAAAATAGTATATTTTGATGTTTGAGTATGATAAGAATTTATTTAAGATTAATTCAATGTATATTTGTAAAAATATGAGTGCAAATACACAAAACATGCACAAAGGCCAAAAGAGTGAAAATCTGAAAATAATGACCAGTTATGAGTTTCTATATTTTGCATACTGATATAGTCATAATCTGGAAAAGTATAAAAGACCAAAGTTATAGATCTCTTCAACAGATTTCCAACAAATCTTAGATCAATTCATTTTGAGGTTGAATGAGAAAGTTACAGCTAAAATAGCGAAGGTTATTTTCCTACTCAGACTAGGTTTCCTAGTTCGGGTCAAACAGGTTTGTTTCGAGTTTGTCTCTATAAATACCTATATTTTTCATGAAAATTTCTTTCTTTTATCATATCTATGAACCCTAGCAACCATCCTCTCCCCTCAAAAATACTAAATCTTTTTCTTATGAGTTTAGAGAGCTTTGTGAAGTAAAACATCGATACGAGGGCGAGATCATCGACGTGTGGCGAGGGAGAACGGGTTGTTTATGCTCGGGGATAGCTTGCTGTTTGTTTTAGAGGCTTGCACATAATATTAAGGCAAGATCACTTATATCCAAACCCATCCTCATAGTTAAATAACTAGTTTAGAAGTTTAAATTATGTTTACATGCTTAGATCTTAATCTAATGTGAAAAAGAATAGATTTTTGTTGTTAGATCTTAAATAAATATCAGATCTACATGTTTTTCTTACTATTTATAATAGAAACATAATCATGAACATTAGGGTTCTTCAAAATTTCATTTTTAACTTGTTAATCATGTTCTAATCATGTTTAAACCCTAATTTGACATTTAATTGAGTTTACATGTGGATTAAAGATGAGAAAACCCTAGGTTTGTGATACCTAAATATTAAAAATATGACTTAATAAATATATATCTTTTCTAAGTTTTTTAGCACTCATGCTTATGTTAAATATGTTAAAAGTTCATGCTTTAGTTTGAAGAATTTGGTTAATTACGTTGAAAAACCCTAATTAGATTAACACAAGAGTTTGAAATAATAAATGAAATCCAAATTGAACCAAACTAACACCAATTGAAGAATATATGAATCTAGATTTCAAAACAGTAAACCATTCCTAAAGATAGTTTTCTTAGAGAAAGATATGCTCAATTTACTAATGATATGTTCTATAGAAAAATAGTTGCACATATATAACGTTTAACTGGAAATTAGAGATAACATATGAACTCTAAACTGAACCAAACCAGTGCCAAATGATAGATATATGAAACTAGTTTCCAAAACGAAAAGCTATTCTTAAAAACAATTTGTTTAGAGAAAGATATACTCAATTGACTAATAATATATTCTATAGAAAACTACAAATATGCTGATTTGAAATAATTAATATATAACGTGAAAGTTTCTTAAGTTTCGCTCTTGTTTATTATTTTCGAGAGAGTTTCTCGATCTTGTACTATTATATTACAATAATTAGGAGTTGTTTAACACCTGAGATGATGGTGAACACCAGTTATGAACACGCACACCGAGATATATGCACATACACTTAGTTTATGTTGTGTTGACATGCACTGTTGAGATTTCTAATACATGTTGAGTTAATGAAAGTATAATAACATATAATAAAGTAGTGTTTATTAGTTATAGATGCTCGGTGTGGATGTTTCCCCGTAATAAGACCACGATTATACCACACTAGGAGTATTGGATGTTTCCCGCAATGAGACTGCGGCTGTACCAATACTCGAAGATTGGGGTTTTTTTCGGATTTGTCTAATATATCTATACTTCGCTATACGATCATCTGGATGCATCATCCGAAAATAGGAAGATAAAACCTATTTGCCACAGAACGATTGAGTAAGAATATTACAATAGTATCATTATTTTATGTATCCGGAATAGAGAGATAAAACCTATTTTCGCAGGACGATTAGGTAAAAGTATTGCAAAAGTATCGTCATTTTATGTATCCGGAATAGGGAGACAAAAAAACCTATTTCTATAGGATGATTGAGTAAGAATATTATAAAAGTATCGTCATTTTATGTATCCATAATATGGAGATAAAAAAACCTATTTCTGCAGAACGATTGAGTAAGAATATTATAAAAGTATCGTTATTTTATGTATCCGGAATAGGGAGATAAAAAAACCTATTTTCACAGAACGATTGAGTAAAAGTATTACAAAAGTATCGTTATTTCATGTATCTGGAATAGGGAGACAAAACATATTTCCACAGAATGATTGAGTAAGAATATTACAAGAGTATCGTTATAGCATAAGGAGATGCACACATATATGTATTATCAGTTATAGTTACTCTCATGTTAGATTACCCATAAGTAGGGTACATTCCTTGATTTGTGGCATACATGATATGATCTATGGTGATTTTTGAGTTAGATGATATTCTCTTATTATTGCATCAACTACTTGAAAAGTAGTTCGAGATTGTGACATTGGTCCTATATGGTTTAGGCTTAGAGTATTTCTTTTGAGTGTTGTTTTCATTTATAGAGTTAGAATTGGTATATAGGGACTTACAATTTAAGACATATGGCATATATATGAGGGTTTCCTTATTTGGATTATTTCACTCGATGTACTACGTCTCGTCTTGTAGGTGTCTAAATATTAACTCTATTAGATATGGGGAAAATGATATAGGTAGACTATGCTTAATAGATAGGGCCTCCATTTCATCTAGTAACCCTTTTCTTAGAAGCGGATAGAGGTGATCTTGCTGTAGCATTCTGACACTCTTGTTATTGTTCGTTTTGTTTAAATTGTATCTTTCAGGCAGATCAGAGTTTCGGAGAGCGGCAGGATGACAGAGTTCTAGCATAGTCACTGTCGCATAATTTTAGCAGTTAAAGCTCCACTTTATGATCATTGTTCAGACTTTAGAGTTGTATTCATTTTGTAGAGCCTGAGTCCTTTAGTGAGATTTCATTTGACTCATTGTGTTGAGATATATTTTAGACTCAGAGATATTTTCATTCTATTTTAGTTAGGCTCATTTGTTGATATACTTCTTCTACGCATATCTGATTTTGTACTACTTCTTTTACTTGCCTTTTTTGTACCTTCACCTATTTGTTGTTTCTACTAGAGAGATAGTGACTGTAATGGTAAAACATGTCATAGCATGGTATTTGGTGCTTAGCAGGTTTGACAATCTGGGTTTCACCTTGGACTATAGCCTTGTGTGAACCCTGGGGAATCACGGTTGGTATCAGAGCTCTAGTTTTAGTATCCTTAGGATCATTCCTGTGTCAAATTATGGAGCTAGGATAGAGTTTCCTAGGATTCATGTATAGAGTCCGCTAGGAATTCCTAGAATGAGTGAGGACGATATGTGCGTATATCTCAAATTTTTGAAATTTTTTATTTTTATTTTATGACAATTATTTTATGTTGATTTAACGTATTTGCGTGAATACTATATGTTATGTATACGTATTGTGATACATTATATATATATGTATATATGTTTGCGATCTCACTTACTGTGATCATAAGCTCTCCTCTCGATATTATAAATGTTGGGATGAGGATACGGTCGAGATAAAACTCGTACTCGGAGAGCTGGGTAAGCAGAGCCTAAGCCGCAGCAGGCTCCATAGTATCTGATCGACTTTATGGCACCATTTGTAGTAAGATTTTGTAGCACTCGAGGAGCGAGAGGCGTCTCAGTTTTTGCCAGCAGTATCACTTTCTAGAGTTCCACCACCAATTGTACCAGTCATACCTAATGAAGAGGCAATACCAATGATTTCATCATCACCACAACCAGCTATTGATAGAACCGCATAGCACGAGACTTGGCTCTGAAAGAATAGGAAGGACATCAGACACTAAGAACACCATAGTGTAGGACACACTAGATTCATATGTAGCTTATAAATAAAAAGGAATATATGAAAAATTTCTTAATGTAGACTTAGTACTAAACCAGAGGTTAAATGTATTCAACATAGAGGACATCACCGGGGAATAGCAGCAAAGGATAGCTACGATTTTAGATTTTCGGCGGGATATCGAATATCACTTATTTGGAAATATTTTGTTTACTTCTTTGACAAGCAGTTATAACTAGTTCGATTAAAGCAGTGAGATATGTTTATAGTTAATTATGAAATCAAGACCAGCGTGATGGAAATGACAAGGGCAAGAGGCCTATTGTAGGATCTAGAGGACCCCAGCAGCGGGGTAAGGATTTTGACCATCATCAACAAAGACATTATAAGAAGATAGTACAATATGATTTAATAGCATCGCAGCAGCACATGATTCAGGACACATGATATAAGATCGGATATAGATTGAAGAATTGTCACGGTAACCAGTAGGAGACTAGCATGACAGAGGTTAGGGTCAATAGTCTTAGGGTCGCGGTTACGGCCAGCATCGGAGGATAGATGTACTACCGGTTATTTCGAGGATTTAGGGGCCTATAGGCCAGAATTACGCTATTCAGAGTATTCATTAGGGCCAGATGGATCCATATGTTCCACCACCGATAGCACAGCAGTCGCTAGCCACCGATAGGATTTATGT